ATTGGAAGGAAATAAAGGAACGTATTAATAATATTGGGCCATTTCCACGTTATATTTTTAGTAATAGTCCTTTATATCTGCAACAATATTATGAAGTGAAAAGTTCGTTGAATTGCATTACAGAACGCACTATTTCAGAATACATAGATATCCTAAGAGGTGATGGTGAATGGAATGATAAAAGTCCTTCCCAAGATTTACTGAAAGTATACCGTTTGGCCATTGGCAATGACGATTTTCCGAGGATTGCAGCATTTAATAATGAATTAAATAAAAGCATACTTGTTCGAGTGATGGAGATTTGTCGTGCCCCATACTTGAAATTCTTTTTCACAGATAGGGGCGTGCTCATTGCCGAACATTTTGAAAAACTTGGTGTTATTGCTTTTACGGATAAGGACTTTGTAACTGCGCTTGGTAAAGAACTGAAAATAATTCAACCACCTAAAGGTCGAGTGAGTCAGAAGAGTGTTTTACAACGGAGAGATTTGATTACATATGCTAGTAATGGGTATGACCTCTTTCCCACTGGTATAAATGATGTCAGTAGGAGGATAGAGTACAATATGCTTTACCGTCCTTCTATATCTAATTTCCCTCTTGTGGATGGTTTCTATTTTGTGAAATCCGAAGAGGAAAGGGTTACAATGATTGGAATACAAACGACAACTGCCAAAAGCCACGAAACTACAGTTACTGCAGTAATTGAATTCAATAGATATCTTAAAAATTGTTTTTCTGACTGGACTGATGTTTCCAAGGAAATGTCGTGGGAGATCATTTACATACAACCCTACGACACTGATGAGAGGAGACAAATAAAAAAATGGCAAGGATGCACTTTGAATGAATCAGGAAACTATAATCTCGAGCAACAGGGGATTACTGCCAAATTCTGGAATGAAAAGGTAAATCAGTATCAGGTGAATTTGTCTTTAGGAATGGCAGTACGCCTCGTGGAGGCTTTGGAGGGGGTGCGTAAAGAAGAAAAACTATCTAAAATCGAAGACTTGATACAAATAAGAAGGCAGGAAGTGCATCAAGAAGTCAATTTCAACTGAAATATGTTTTAATTTCAGAAATATTAGTGAAATAAAGTATTCCTTTGACATTTTTTTTTTTTTTATTAGTATGAGTTTAAGGGTAAAATAAATATGCCGTATGGTCTCACAAAACAATGACTGACTGTTCGTTATATTGCCCATTTATAATTTCTGTTTTATTTTGGGACAAAATACAAATGAAAACGTATATTAATTTTTGATTTCGTTGAGTTTTTAAATTATTTTCAGGGTGGATGGGATTGGGAAAAGGAATGGTCTGATTTTACGCTTGGTAAAAGAAAAAAAAAAATAACATATTATGTTTTCTTAGTTTGTATATATGCGTGTGGG